TGCAATTAAGGATGGGATTTCCCCTTCACTGATAGGAGAAAGCTACCTAAACCACAGATAAACTTCCCTCCACCAGCATCTCCTTGGTTAGCCATCTGGTCAACTGCTGTTAGAAGCAATAGAGTTTTTAAAGGCCAAGCTCTGGAGCCACACACAGGCTTTTTCTACTCAGTAGTGAGGTTGTGCTTTTTATACTACTCTTAGAATCTGGCTTCCTTAGTTGTGTACTGAGCATAATGACATCTACCTTAAAGATTGTGTTTAATACAATAGCACACACAAGACACTAAAGGCAACATCTGGCACATGGTAAATGCCCAGTAAATGGATCGTTATTGAGTCTGTGTGAGATGCTAAGTGAGTGTCAGGCAGCCTCATGCCAGACTCTTCCTGGCTCTGATGAGACGCCTGGATGAGCTCAGCTTACTGTAAAGGAAACTCCCAAGCTTTGGTTTTGCTGAGGAGAAAATATAATTTAAGAGTGAAAGCTGAATGGTTTGGGGTGGCAATTTTTTTCTTTTTTAGGCTGTGCAGAGGAAGAGGAAAGTAGATTGAAGAGATAGAAGGAAAGAGAACTTTGAAAAGAAAAAATAAACATGCCCACCTGAGTCCGTTTCTGCAGTATGATGGGCAACATGCAGCCTTTTCCCATGTCTCCATCAAACTTTATATTTTTTATATACACATTATGGTTTTATATATATTGTGTGTATCTGTAGGCATATAAAACTTAATACAGGTAACATTGTGGGTTGAGATCTATTTTTGGCACTTCTCAGAGTATGGAGTCCTGCTTCAAGGTGGGCACAGGTATAAAGACAGACTGTAAAGAAATCCATTTTGAAGATTTTACACAGATTTTAATTGTATGCAGTGACTCAGCCCTTGGGATTGAGAATTCATACACTTTATCAACTGTTTTTTTTTTTTTTTTACCTGTGTTCTTGATATTTAAATCTGAATTGAGCCTGTGTACCTATGAAAAACGGTACAAGTTTGCTGTTACTGTGGCCCTCCATCCATCTGGTCTGCATCTAGCAAGGATGTAAGTTGCTTATGTAAATGACTGAGGAGATCCCTAGCTCATGGAACTGTGCCCTCTACTGTTCATTATGGCAACGTGCAGCTGTGATCAAATCTTACGGAAGCAGAGTTGCAACAGCCAAAGCAAGTTGCTCAGTGGTCTGTAATGGGCAAGGCGCTGTCTGGAAGGCCAGCTCCTGGCACCTACAGCCAGTCTAGTTGTAAGTATACACCAGGAGAAGCGAGACAACCAGCCAGCAGAAGCTTACCTCCCTAACAATTGTTCCAAGGCAGGGTCTGACCCTGTGCTACACGACATGAATGTTTCCTTCCCAGTTTCCACTGCAAACCCAGAACAGCTGCTATTAGCTTTGTTCCTTATAAAAAAAAAAAATTTTTTTTTTTTTAAACAGATGGTAGGCCTTACTATGTACACTGGCCTTGAATGCCTCTTACATCAGCCTCCTGAGTAGCCAGGCCTCCCAGAGCACAGCCAGCATGCCTGGCTACAGAGATTTTTTTTAAAAACAGTGATGTTAATCATTGAAACTTGCCTTTAAGAGAGCTCTGGTTTTGAGTTTTAAACTACTTTAAGGAAGTATGGTTAATAGCTGAGATGAAATAAACTCCTATAAAGTAGCAGCAGTTCATTGCCCAAGATTAACACTGGCAAGGATCAACTTTTCTTTCTTTTTTTCTTTTCTTTCCTTTTCTCCTCCTTTCCTTTTTTCTCCTCTCTTTTCCTTTCTTTTATTTTCTTCTCTTTTCTCTTGTTTTCTTTCCTTTTCCATTCTTTTGTTTTTTCTTTTCTTTCTTTTTAAAAAAATCATCTAAAGTGCTGCAGAATCTGCTTCTACAGCATTACTATTGCACTATGAAATCTATTTTGCAGGCTTTCTTTACCTTCTGAGCAGACAGATGTCTGCGATTTGTATTCTCACCCTTAGCACCAATCATCTGAGCATGGCTCCAAAGAACGCAGTCAGCATTTACCTTTACTTTAAATAACAAAAAGGGAAATTCTGTAGATGTTAAGCTGGCTTTTTAGATTTGGGTCCTCTGCAGTCACTTTTGAATTGTTCTCAGCATCATTCCACTTAGCTACAGAGGAGAAAATATAGTGATGAATAATGAAATATTCATGAAAGGAAAAAAATGTTAAGTTTTCTTAAAATAAATGATTCTAAAACTACAATGTGTGAAAGTACTTTTGTGGAAAAAAAAAGATTCAGAGTTTCAAATTCATGAGTTTAGAGGGTGGGATTTTCTGCTCCATCATGTGGCAGGATGCTGGTAGATGGGAATCTGCAGCATCTTATCTTTCTCTGCTGCCAACAGTGCAGCCCAATTTAATGCAGCACTGGCTGTCCGTGGGAACAAGCTGCCAGGTTTCTCTGAATCACAGAGGTTCACTGCCATTCAGCGGGCAAAGAAATGGTGTGCAAAACGTGCGCCTTTGTTGGAAACCCTCAAGGCACTGACATGCTATTGAGGATTCCCATTTCGTGATGGGGTCATGAGTGAATGTTCAGAGTTATTTGTAGTATCAGAATACGAGTGTTTGTGCATTACAGTTTATAAAGAATGTATAAAGCCCGGGTTTATAAAGAACTTACCAATTCCAAACAATTTGATAGATTAAGAAAATGGTTCAACTATTTTGGTATTTCTATTTGGTGACTTGCATTTAAGACATGTTCCTCAGGATAGGAGATGCTTGTAGTTATTTCAGTAATAATGGATTTGCTAACATGTGGCCAGCTTATTAGGTATGTGGCATGTCATTTTTTCTCTAAGTCTAGCATGATCTGTGGGTCTGATATCACCTCCTATTACATATAAACATGGGGAATTACTCCCTCCTCTATTTTTCTTTTATGGGACTTAGCATGTACACAAGGATGTATCCGCGTCCCCTTCCATCTTCTTGAAGACAGATATTATGTCTTCTTAATATTGACATCCCAGTACTGCAGTACTAGGGATTTAACAAATGTTCTTTTACTTTCCTCTCCCTTATCCCTTAAAATCATGAGCAATGTGAGCTCATCATTCTGAGAATAATTATTTTGAAATGAAGAAGGCTTAGTCAATAGCAGCTTAGAAAACCCAGGTTTAAGCACAGAACACTGATGTTCCTCTTCTCCAGCACAGACGTTCCACAGGGTGTGGAAAGTGTACACCTTGGAGCCCTCTTTAAGGCTGTTAGTGGGCCCTTTGGCTTTGAGGGTTGAGTCTTCAGAAGGAAAGACTCCTGACCTCTGGAGAAGGGGATCTACTCCACTAAGAGCATCCTGGGGAGGCAGGAAATAGAACTGAACTTGATCCTCTAGGAATCTGACTCCAGGGCCGAGGGCTGGTGGGCATTTGAACAGAGGAGAGGTGTACCTTGCACCTGCTGCCAGAATCCTAAGCTTGCAGCACCTTTGGCGGCAGTTAACCTTGAAGAAAGTGATCCACCTGTCTCAGCAGGACACACAGGGTGAACAAAAGATCTTATACTACATATAAGATAACCATATGCCTTGGTTTTCTGAAACAATCCTATCTGAATTCTCTTGTCCAGCCATGATTATTAACAGTGTTCCTTTGTATTATTTGATCACTTTTCAACAGTGACATCGTGTGGTCTCATGAAGCAATGGCAGTGGATCGAGGACTTTTAAGTTTGTTCCTGACTGGTGTGGAAACCAGAGTGATCTTTCTCTGCCCTTAAACTTCGGAGTTGTCAGGACTACTCATAATTTGAAAGAAAGGGAAAGCTTCAAGAGGAAGTTTGAATGTATTCTGTTAATAAGGCATGTAGGTGTTTCAGCGATTGATTTTGATAAAATGAGAGATGTGACCATATGTAAGCTCTCCTGAATCGGTGAAGCAGTTTATACCCTTCACATACTATTTATTTCAGAATGTTTGCTTACTTTAGCAACCTGATTTACATTGTTTTAACACTGAGCTCTTTGCAGTAGTTTTCCAGCATTTCATCTGTGACCTTGAGAAGTGACAATTTTGGCTGGTAGGGAGATACATGAAGTGAACCACACATTTAAGAGGTGTTTCATGGATACCTAGTTTGGCCTGCCCAGCATCCCTTTCCCCTTTGCTGGGAACTGAGCTCCTTTGCCTGTTGGAAAAAAATTTCCATATAGATTAGGCGATTCCCTTATTTTTTTCTCCTCCCATTACTCTCTGATCCCTTAACGAGGGATTAGACATTGACTTAAGCTCAGGGTACTTCTCTTCCTTTGAAAGCATTGATGGTGGGACAAAGAAAGGCCATTGACTCCAAAGAGGTAAGTTTATGTCCTTCTATAGCCAGAGCTATTGGAAAAGACTTTCCTCTTGCTTAGGTTGCTAATCTGACAGCATTGGTGTTAGGCTCTTGGCAGCCATCTTGCCATGCTAAGGAGAGTCACTACCCAAAGAAGAGAGAAAAAGAGGAGGTCCGTATGACTTTGTTTTGAGGCTTCTTGCTCCAGTCTAGCCTGAGACACCAGATATGTTCATGGCCATGTTCACTCCATCTTTATATTTAAATATATAGATATAAGTATATATGTATTTGTTATGAGTTAGCTTCAAATCTAAGGCGACTTCTGACCTAAGACTTCTGATTCCTATATGCAGTGAGCAGTCTTCTGCATTTCAGGGATCTAGTCTCTTAGAGCTTTGAGATTCACTAGAGTAACCAATCAACTCTAGCTTTGCTTACTATCCGTATAATTGTCAAAATGGTCACATTTGCTCGCAATCAGCTACTATTCAGCTTATCCACAAAGCCACAGAAAGCAGTTGACAGAGCTCTTTACTGGGCAAGGCTAATCCTTGAAAGACCACATGGGGACAGACGGTTAGGCAAGTAGGCAACCCTCACGGGAAAGACTGAAGAAAACCGCTTCCCTCCACAGGTTCCACAGCTCCTGTCTCCAGGCTCGGAGTCCACTTGCCTTCTGCTTCTCAAGGATGCTTCTTAGGGGTCAGTGAGGTAACATGTCCTCTGTCTCAAGTGTGAGCGATGGAAAGAGGAAGCATCTCAGCTTCCACAAGATGCTCCTGCTCAGGATCTTGGGCAGCATAATGACGAGGAGGTCTGGGTTTATAAAGCTTAAGTGGAAAAACATGTAGCCCAGCAGTCTGATGAAAAATAGGGTGGTGAAAAAGAGATAGCGGAAAATCCTGAAAAGACAAAGTAAAAACACCCTGTTAAGCAGAGGTTAGGAAAACTGGAACAACACCAAAAAGTCATACCTGAATGTATGTCTGGGTCCTTCTTGAGATTCAGATGTCTCCCATGAATTGCTGTCTCCTTTCCTGACATCCCTTTACAAAGACAGCTTTTTTCTCTGTTTTAGCCAGCTTGTTAATCTCTCTCCATTCCTGTGTTTTCTTTGTAGCCTTTAACCACTCTCCAAAATAATCTCATTCTTTTAATTTTTGTTTTATTATTTTACCAAAATTCTGTCCAAAGTAGTTGTGCTAATTTATACTCTACCAGTAAGGGTTTCATTTCTGTGAAACCGTATCCTCTCCAACACTTAATATTGTCCGATTTTTGAAATTTTGCTTGTTGAATGGGTATACATGAATATCTCATTATGGTCTCCATTTGCATTTCCCTGATGAGCAATGATGTTGACCATCTGGGCATAGGTTGATTGGTCTTAGGTGTTTTTTCTAGCCCATTTATCTGCTAGGTGGTTTGGGCTTTTCTTTTTGATTTGTAGTTTTTTATATGTTCTCAGTATCAATCCTTTTCCATTGTGTACATTGTTATATATTCTCCTAAGCCGGTCACTTTTGCTTACTTTAAGGTGTTAAAGAACAAAAGTTTTTAACTTTAATGAGGTCTCATCTTTCAATCTTTTAATTAGAATCAATAAATTATAAAATATCTTGTTTAAAAAGATCATTTCCTACCCCACGGCCTAAAAGGTACTTATTAAAAGTCCATGGTAGTTTAAAAATGTGCCTAAAATGTATTAGTCTTTTCTTCAAGAGATTCCCCTGAGGGTGAAAGGGCCTTGACAATTCACTTGAAAAGAATGGAATATGGAGGAAGGCACGGTGTGTGTCTTCTCAGACTGTCAGAATGGTGTTGCAGCCTCCTCCTTATCTTTGACGGAAGCCAGTTGGAAGGCTGTGGGGATGCTCAGCAGCCATATTAAAAGGTCTTGGTGGTGAAGAACTGAGACCACCTGCTAACTACCAGAATGTGTGAGTAAGTTGTCTCGGAAATAGAACCTCTGGCTCCAGGCAAGCCTTCTGCAGTTTTGGTCAATTTCCTAACTGCAACCTCATGACAGACACTGAACTAGCACCACTTTACCAAGCAGATCACAGATTCCTGCCCCCAGAAACTGTGAGATAATAAAAGTGTATTGTTTGAAGCTATTATGTTCAGGTATTTTATTATGCAGCAATAGAGAAACGATGCACAATGTCAAAGATTTTTTTTTTTTTAACATTTACATCTTTAGCACACCTGGGTTGGCTTTTTATATACACATTATAGAGATCCAATCTCATTTTTTTCTGCAAAGGAAACTTTTCTTTCACTGCTATTTTTATTGAACAATTCTTTCCCCCTCTGACATGCAATTGTTCTCTCACACCAAAGTTTCTCTATGTACACTATTTCTGAGCTCTTTGTCCTATTCTCCTGGTCAGTTTATCTATTCCTATGCCAATACTATGCTCTTATAAATTATCCCAGCTTTGGGGTAAGTCCCAATATCTGGATAAGCTTTCCACCTTCTGCTCTTCTATAAAGTCGTCCAGCTTATTCCTGACCCTTTACTGTTCCATGTACAGTATATTTTATAATTGTTTTCTTCAGTTCCATAGAATAATCTTTTGGGGAGTTTGACTGGAACTGAATCAAATTTATTAATCATTTGGAGACAATTGGTGTGTTTAAGATATAACATTTCTATTCATAATTATGTTACTTCTCTTCTTTCATTCATGTTATTTTTAATATTTCCTAATACATTTCTATAAACCTTCCTACAGTGGTCTTGGTTTTTTTCTTTAACTGACAAGTTATTTAGGCTTTGTGGTTTTAATATGATTTGCATGAGCCCACCTCCACTGTTTCTTTACCTATATTGACCTAACCCAGAAGT